GGGCAAGCGGAAGGAGCTGACGGAGTTCTTTGGCAATGACGTCTGGGAGTTTCACAAGCCCACCGGGGAGGGGGACCCTCGGCGGATACTCAAGGCGAAGTGGGTGCTCAAGTGGACAAAGAACGACGACGGCACACCACGTGCCAAGGCGCGGCTGGCACTACAAGGTTTCAGCGACCCCGACGCACTCAGTGGCGCAGTACCGACAGCATCGCCTACAGCATCGAGACTGGCAAGACAGATGGCGCTCCTACCGGCGGCTAACAACGGCTGGAGACTATGGACAGCAGACGTAGCTACTGCATTTCTTCAAGGACGACCCCAAGAGCGTGAGTTATATGCGAAGGTGCCCAAAGACGCGGCAGAGCTCATGGGCATCGAGCCGAATACTCTGACGAAGCTCATTAAGCCAATGTACGGCCAGGTGGACGCACCGAGGCGTTGGTGGCTACGTGCGGTGGACGACCTGAAGGCCAGCGGTCTCAAGCAGCATCCTTTGGACCCCTGCGCGTTCCTCAGTTTCGATGAGGACGGCAATCATGACGGGTTCATTCTACTCTATGTGGACGACATGCTGGGAGGTGGAGATCGGCGGCCGGGCAGTAACTATAGTCAAGCTATCACCGAGGTGGAACGAAAGAACAAGTTCAGGAAATTGATCGAAGACGACAAGATGGACTACTGCGGCAGCGACTTGGCGCAGACCCCGCATTGGGAGAACCCGAAGTCGAACAGTAGCGAGATTGAGGTGAAGATGGCGACCTACGCGAAGAACTTGAAGCCTATCACGATCGACCAGAAGAGCAGCGACAACACGAGGGAGCTCACTATCAAGGAGAAGCGGCAGCTACGAGGCCTACTCGGAACGTTGCAGTGGCCAAGCTCTCAGACGTGTCCTCATCTTTCGGCTTCGGTCCGCATTCACCAAGGACAGCTACCTACGGCAACGGCGGGCACGGCCAAGGAGGCGAACAAGACACTGCGGTTCTACAAGCAGAACTCGGACGTCGGGCTCAAGATGAAGAAGATCGGCCAGGCCTGCGACATAGTGTTCGTAGCAATGACGGACGCAGCCTGGGAAATTCGACAGGGCGGGCCCAGTCAAGGTGGCTACGTCATCCTGGCATGCCACAAGAAGATATTCGACGGACACGGGTCAGACTTTAGCGTGATCGACTGGAAGTCCTTCAAGCTACTGCGCATGGCACGTTCCTCTCTACATGCGGAGTCACAGGCAGCAGCAGCGGGCATGGATGGCTTGGAGTTTGCGAAGCGATTCTGGGCAGCCTTGATCTACGACGGCGTGGACATCACGAAGGATGAAAGCACCCACATGGCGGGTGAGTCAGCATTAGTCGTGGACGCGAAGGCGCTCTACGACGCGGCCCAGGAGGAGAGCACCACTAGCTTCCAGGACAAGCGGACCGGCATCGAGGTGCTAGCGCTGCGTGGGAGAATGCAGGCTACAATGACACGCTGGAAGTGGGTATCTTCAGAGAGGCAATCCGCGGACGGGCTCGCGAAGATCGCGGCGAGACAGCTTCTCGCTGACCGTCTGCGATATGGCAGGCTACAGCTCAAGCGTGACCCGAACTACACGGCGGCGAAGAAGAATACCAAGGAAGAGCGACAGGAGAGCATAGATCAGACCAGGCCGGTGACATCGGCGGCTACAAGGAAGGCAGCGACACCGTTCATGCAGTTGGCGGTGTTCGCGACTTGTTGTTGCAGCTCGGCGGCTCGCTCGGGCTACGACACGAAGAACGAGAACGACGGCTATGGTATTGTGATCTGGATTGCAATGTTTTTTTTTCTTTCATATTTCTTGGGTTATGTGGTGCCTATCCCGTTGCATCCTACCTGATCAAGACCAATGAGGCCGAGTGCAAATGCAAGACTGAGTTGGCAGTTCTACGGGCGAAGGCCGAAAAGGAGAGGATCGAGAAGGAGAGAGAACCAAAGGGACCACCAAGTGACGAGCGCGGCGGCTCGTCGAACGACCTGTACACGGCCAGGACGGTGGGAACGCAGAGCATGACGACATACAAGCTCAGCGGAGACGTATGGAGGTTTCAGCATCAGACCCAGGGTTTTCGCAGGGCAGGCGAGGCGACGACCGAGCCAGAGTTGACGGAAGGTTTTCGAGTGCCCTAGTGAGGTTTGTATGCGATACTATTCTTTCTCTGTTTTGCGGCTTTCATTGCTTGCCGCCCGACAGGTTACGATGGTGGATTTCGTTTGGAGATCAATTTGTGATCGTGGATTTCGTTTGGAGATCCAGGTATGATTGTGGATTTCGTTTTGGAGATCCATTTACCTGCAGTACTATATATCGGCATTGCTTCTTTTAGCGTGGAGTTAGTTACACTTTCCCATGCATTATAACTTTGTTTCTCATCATGTTTATTGTTAATGCAATCTTAGGAATGTTTAGCTGGATTTGTCATGTTTTAGACTGAAGGATGGCTCCTCTCTGTTTCATTTGTTGTTACTCTTTCACGGGTGTGAGATATACGTTGTACATCTAGTGTGTATGCTATGTTGCAGTGCGCAGACAGTGCAGAGCAAGGCTGTAGCATAGCGGGTGTACCATTGCACTTCGGCCCAAACCTTTCAAGGGCCCTTGAGTTAGACCGAGCGCGCTGTGGAAAACGTTCCAGCTGTTTCTCTGGTTTCTCATTCTCATTGCCATCAAAGACTTCGTGGGCTTTGATAAGTTCATACCCTGGACCCCTCCCATAAAACCACATGAGGGTTTTTGTTGGGGGGCAGGGGGCTTTCCCCCCAGAACAACCCCCCCCCCCCCCCTCATGGGAGTGTATTGGGGAGGGTTGGGGGGGTTTTCCAACATGGATCCCCCCTCAACAACCTTCAGGGGGGTGAGAGAGGTTTCCCCCCCCGGCCCTCCTCAGTTTTTTCCAAACCATCCTGTGGTGTTGGGTCCTCGTTTTGAAGAGACAGCGCCCCGCGTCCCCTCTCCTCTCCTCTCCTCTCCTCTCCTCCTCCTCCTGCTCCTCGCCCTCCTCCCTCCTGCGTTCGCATGCCTCCCCACGACCCATTTCGGCACACCCCTCACACGCTTCGTGGCCCCATAGGGAGCTCCACCGAAGGCCCCAGTGGCTGCGTTCGCATGCCTCCCCACCACCCATTTCGGCACATCCCTCACACGTTTCGTGGCCCCCTAGGGAGCTCCACCGAAGGCCCCAGTGGTTGCGTTCGCATGCCCCCCACCACCCATTTCGGCACACCCCTCACACGCTTCGTGGCCCCATAGGGAGCTCCACCGAAGGCCCCAGTGGCTGCGTTCGCATGCCTCCCCACCACCCATTTCGGCACACCCCTCACACGTTTCGTGGCCCCATAGGGAGCTCCACCGAAGGCCCCAGTGGCTGCGTTCGCATGCCTCCCCACCACCCATTTCGGCACACCCCTCACACGTTTCGTGGCCCCATAGGGAGCTCCACCGAAGGCCCCAGTGGCGCATGTGGCAGGTTCTCCACCGAAGGCCCCAGTGGCTGCGTTCGCATGCCCCCACCACCCATTTCGGCACACCCCTCACACGTTTCGTGGCCCCATAGGGAGCTCCACCGAAGGCCCCAGTGGCTGCGTTCGCATGCCTTTCGGCACACCCCTCACCGTTCGTGGCCCCATAGGGAGCTCCACCGAAGGCCCCAGTGGCCATGCCTTTTCGGCACACCCCTCACACGTTTCGTGGCCCCATAGGGAGCTCCACCGAAGGCCCCAGTGGCTGCGTTCGCATGCCTCCCCACCACCCATTTCGGCACACCCCTCACACGTTTCGTGGCCCCATAGGGAGCTCCACCGAAGGCCCCAGTGGCTGCGTTCGCATGCCTCCCCACCACCCATTTCGGCACACCCCTCACACGTTTCGTGGCCCCATAGGGAGCTCCACCGAAGGCCCCAGTGGCTGCGTTCGCATGCCTCCCCACCACCCATTTCGGCACACCCCTCACACGTTTCGTGGCCCCATAGGGAGCTCCACCGAAGGCCCCAGTGGCTGCGTTCGCATGCCTCCCCACCACCCATTTCGGCACACCCCTCACACGTTTCGTGGCCCCATAGGGAGCTCCACCGAAGGCCCCAGTGGCCTGGGTTCGTCCCCACCACCCTTTCGGCACACACACCTTTTCGCATGGGCACACCCCTCACACGTTTCGTGGCCCATAGGGAGCTCCACACTTCGGCCTCCCTACCACCCCGGGCCACCCCTCACACGTTTCGTGGCCCCATAGGGAGCTCCACCGAAGGCCCCAGTGGCTGCGTTCGCATGCCTCCCCACCCATTTCGGCACACCCCTCACACGTTTCGTGGCCCCATAGGGAGCTCCACCGAAGGCCCCAGTGGCAGCGTTCGCATGCCTCCCCACCACCCATTTCGGCACACCCCTCACACGTTTCGTGGCCCCATAGGGAGCTCCACCGAAGGCCCCAGTGGCAGGCCACCCATTTCGGCACACCCCTCACACGTTTCGTGGCCCCATAGGGAGCTCCACCGAAGGCCCCAGTGGCAGCGTTCGCATGCCTCCCCACCACCCATTTCGGCACACCCCTCACACGTTTCGTGGCCCCATAGGGAGCTCCACCGAAGGCCCCAGTGGCAGGGTCGCATGCCTCCCCACCACCCATTTCGGCACACCCCTCACACGTTTCGTGGCCCCATAGGGAGCTCCACCGAAGGCCCCAGTGGCGCGGTGCCTATGAGAAGAGGGGCCTAGTTTGCGTGCCCCCTCCTTCGTCTCATATCCGTGCGATACTCGCAGGTGCATATGGTTGGGTCCTTCGCCAGGCTAATTTTTTTCTGAAGGGGGATTAAGAAAATTTCCGCCCCCCCCGGACACCATTTCCACGCCCCCCCCCCCGGACACCATTTCGGCACGCCCCTGACACGTTTCGCGCCCTATAGGGGGCTCCATCAAAGGCTCCATTATGAGGGTCAGCCTTCATTGTTCGTGTCGCGCCTCCGCCTCCTGCCAGGGCCGTCGGCTCAAGCGCAGTGCAAAACTTACCTTGTTGATTTTCGTATTGATCGGCGGCCAGAGATGGCACGCGGCGAAAGCGCTCTGCTGGTGCGCCTGGATCGGCTGCTGCTGCTGCTGCTCTCTGGATTGCAGCTGGCGCGGTCGCTGGAGCTGCGAGCGCTGTCCCCGCCCGTGGCGGGGACCTTGGCGCAGGCAGACACCGAGAGAATGGTGAGCATGCCGACGACTGCTTATCTCGGGCTGGACGAAAGGGGGGGAATGGAAAAACAGGGGGGGGTACAGAATCTGCTGCCAGCAGCCGGTTTCGCCTCCGCCGCCAGATGCTCTCCTCGAGACATTGGCTCCTCCAGCGCGGGGAAGACCTTCTGCGTGCGCGGATTCGTTCGACCCTCCTCGGTCACCGCCCTCGTCGTGCGACCCGGCTGTCCACTGCGAGTCTCCTATAGCAGCGCGAGCTACCTCAGGTGCCTGGGCTCGTGGCAGTCCCAATGCAGGCAGAATTGGAATGGCGACGACATCGCCATTGACCTCGTGTGCAACAGCAGCCTGGATCGTCCACACCTGAAGTCGCACCTCCTGCTGAGAGCGGCGGATGTGCGTTCCCGGATGTGGTTGGGGATGGAGAGGCACTGGCAGAACAACGCCATGCCTCGCTTGTTCGTGCCCCGATTCACAGCTGTCGGGTGGAAGATGGTGATGCCGCCTGAAGAGTTGCACCAGCGTGTGGCCGAGTGGTACGAGTCGCAGCGGTGGCGCATGATCCCAGAAACTTGGCCGAGTACGGATGATGTTGGGTGCAATAACAATTACGATAACGACGACTACCTCATTCCCCACAACGAGGCACCGCCAGTGATGGCCATGTCCAGGTGGATCAAGGAACAGCTGCAGGAGTGGATGGGCACGGAGGTCGGCTGGATGCAAGACTTGGGTCAGGGGGCTTGGGGGGGGCCTGGGGAGGCCACGGCATGGATGCACCTTGGGCCTGCGCCCAAAGGAGGTTTGGGGCATACCAGCAGAATAGAAATTAAAAAAATACGAAAGCACAAACATAAAAAGAAAAAAAAACAGCAGGAAGTCTTGGTGAGTTCTCTGGCCATCCCGGAACCTGACCTCCAGACGAACCCGGAGGTCTGCGCAGGCTCCTTGAGGCCCCCGTGAGTCCCCACAAGGTACAACAGGCGTCAAGTGTCTGCGATCCCCGATCGCCTTGGGCAGAACTGCAGACACACGAGCTCAGAGCCTCCGATCCTCCTGGGGAGAAGGCTTGCGGAGTGGGAAGCGTTCAGGCTACGCTTCGCCCCGCCAGCTCTATCTCCCACCACGCTTCGGCCTCACGCGCGAACCTCGCCCCAGCCCCCGAGCGTCAATTTCCCATGCCATCCGCCTATCGTCAGGAACGTTGGCTTCGCGTGCCGTTCCGCCCGTTCTGACCCATCACGCTGCGGCGCGACACGCTGTCCACGTCCGAGTCCCCGGGCGTCAGCTCCCCGAGCCTTTGCGAAGCTTCCCGCGCCGCGGATCTGAGCGGCACGCCATCCGCTTGCAAGGCACGGCGTGCCGCCGCGACCGCTGGCGAGACGCGTTGAGCAACCGTTCCTCACCGTAGGACAAAAGAGAGCTCCAAGCCATCGGCCCTCATGGGCAGAGCTTAGCAGCCGCCCTTGCTCACCCGCAGCCGGCCCGCCCCCAGTCTTCCCCCGCCAGCCGGCGATGCCAGAGCGTTCCAGAACGCTCTCAGAGCGTCCTGGAGCGCTCCGGAACGGCCGCGGCGCCCGATACATCCTCCAGAACCGCCGGATCTCAGAGATCCCTCGCTTGTCCTGGTCGGACTGTGTCCCGCTCCTGGCTTCGTCCTGCAAGGTCGACCCGAGCTTCCGCATCTTCTACGGGGCACGCCTGCAGCGGCGAGGCGGCACCTGCGGCCTGCACGTCGACATGGGCCAGACGCACATCATGAGCGCGACCTACAACATCGCCCAGAAGCGGCAGACGAAGCCGTGGCCCCTGGCGTTCGTCGAGCCGGGGGGGCAGGCCCCAGAGCCGGTTTTCGGCACGATCGGAATGGGCACGGAAAGAAGGGAGGCGAAGTCGGACATCAGTTTTTGTCCATGTTGAGCGGGGCTCGTTGTCGGCGTCGCCGCGGGGGTGCTCCGTTTCAGACAGAGGGTCGCTTGCCCAAGAGCGGCCGCTGCTGGCCTTGGTCCAAACATGTGCAGCTGGGCATCGAGCCCTTCTCGTCCGTGCCCAGCTCGGGTGTGCCAAAGCGTCGTGGGGTGAGAGCCAGGCCGAGGGAGATGGGAGCGTGGCGTGCTCTGCAGCAGGCAGAGGGGCGGAGGACGGGGGCGCGAGCATGTCCGCCCCGGACCGGCCCTGGGCCGCCGCGCGCGACACCTCCCTCGGGCAGCTCCGTGGGAGGTCACCACTGGGGGGTCACCAGTTCCATTTGGAAGTCAACGTTCGAGGGCCGAAGCTCGAGGAGATGTGTCAGCCCCGCGCAGAAGGGGGTCAGTTAGGGGGGAGGAGGGAAGGCTTCCTAGAGGCACCCCTGCTTCTCAGATTGCGAAGGGCCGTTTCTAAAGGTGTAAGGCCGCCGCGTTCTGAAAAGCAGTCTCCCTCTAAGAGGCCTCCCCCCCTCCCCCATACCGCCCTGTGCGCGCCGCCAAATGTTGTGGTGGACGTGTGGGGTCTCGCTGGTGCGCTCTGGAGTGCTCTGGGGGCCCCGTGTCCTGCAGGAAGTGGCGCTTCCTCTGGGAAGCAGCGGCCCCAATGAGGGTGGCCCCCCCTGGCATTGCCCGGCGGTCGCTGGGCAGGCGGCGTGCCACTCAGCAGATGAACGAGCGCCCGAAAGATTAGGGTTGCGGATCTGCTTCACGATCCGTTTCCCATGTGGCCCGTAATGCGGACAGCACGCGCGCGAGCTAACTCCGCGCTGATGTTGCTTAAAAAAAAAAAAATGAAGTCAATTCGTGCCCGAAGGTCTCGAGGGCGGAGCAGCAGCCCGGGCACGTCGTGTTCTACGAGGGCGGCTCGGGCATGCACGGGCGCCCCGAGCCGCTCGAGGGCGAGGAGTTCGTCAGCATCTATTTCCACTTCCGGCCAAAGGACCAGGGCAGACAACGCGCAACCTGCTCCTGCTCAGTATCGTTTTGCCAACCCCTATCCCCATCCCCAGCCCCATCCAGACGTCCACCGTCCCACCACCCCAGTTTGGGATACGTATACGCCGCGAAACCCGACGGACAGCCTACGGCAGGTTCGCGTCGTGTCGACCGTCGGCGACCCCGCCCGCGGCGCTTCACGTTGAACGCCGGCGGCGACCCAGAATCGGTCGATGTTGAACGATTGGACGTTGCGGGAACGGCCGATCGTTTTAAGGTTGAACGATCCACGCGGTGTCAGAAACCAACGCCAGGGTCGTCACGACGCGAACCTCCTCGTCCTCCTCCTCCTCCTCCTCCTCCTCCTCCTCCTCCTTATCCCCATCTGCGGGGGTACATCGGCCAGTGGGGCCCAGTCCACCCCCAATGGGGACAGGGGCCGGCTCAGAGATGCGCTCACCCTCCTCGGTGTTGCGTGATACGGCGGCCAGCCCCGGGGGGGGGGAGCGAGAGGGGGGCGGGCCTTTCGGGTCGGGCGAAAGGGGGGGATTGGGAAAGGGGGGGTTACGAAATTTGCTGCATGCAGCTGGTTTCGACCTCACCGAGGGGCCCATTCCTCGATACATGCGCGCCTTCTGGCGCGGGGAGGCGCCGGGAAAATCAGCTACGTGAGCTGATTCTCAAACCCCCCCTTTGCTATCCCCCCCTTTCGCCCGACCCGAGCCTTTTCAGAAGGCTCGGAAGTTCCCAGACCTTCTGAGACATTTTCTGAGCCTTCTCCGACGACGCAGGAAGCCTCCCAGACGGCTGGAGGTCTTCTGAAAAGCCCCGCCGCCTTCCGAGAGCACCTTCTCCTTCTCATTTCCCCCCTCGTTCGCCGCCGACAGAGGGCGCCGGGGGGACGCTACCCGAGCCAACATCACCAAGTCGATCCCCCTCGCGGTGAAAGCCATGCCGCGCCGAAGGCGTTCCAGCACACATGGTGCATTTTGCCGAACGCAGAGTTCACTCCTCCATCTCCCCCTCGACCAGTCAGTAGGGTTTTGTACAGTCAACCACCATAGTAAGGATGAGCGGCTTTCTATAGTTACCCTTGCATCCTTCCCCTTTGGCCCATCCTTGGCCGCCGCGCCCCGCCCCGAAAGTGTCAACGTGGCCTTCCAAGGCCCTTGCATCCTCATCGTGCGTCCTTGCTATACCGGATGACTGTGCCCCCATTCGTCGTTTTTGGCTCTTCCTCCCTGGGTTCAGGTCCTGGGGAGAGAATGAGCCCGCACAGCGGGCGAACTGGGCTGTGGTGCTCATCGTTGCCGCACCCCCGGGCAGCTGCTCATCGTTCCCCCACGGGGGGAAGGCTCCTTCGCAGGAGGCTGCCTCTCAGAAGACGCCGGTCCTAACCGCGAAGGGCCTCTAATGTTGAGGACCCCCCCGAAGTTCTCGGGGGGAATAGAAACTCGTCCCTCATCCTCCTTTGCCTTCCTCCTCCTTCAACTCCCTCCTTCTCCTCCTCCTCGTCCTCGTCCTCCTCAGAAACCTGACGGGCACTTCCGAGGACGGTCGATCCGATCCGATCGCCTCCCCTCAACCTGCTCCCCAGCGCCCCTAGCTCGCCATTGCTTCCCAGCCGGCTCCATGTGACTTGCGGGCCAGATCGTGTGCTGGCAGGGATCTTCACGCTCTAGGTGCCTGGCGCAATTGCAGACGCCGTGCTCTCTGTTCGAAGAATGCTGGAAACGTCTGATTCTGGGAGCCTCGACTCAAGTACCTGCACGTGTGCGGGCATGCGGCTGCGAGCGAGTGCGCTTGCATGGCAGACAACGGGCACTCGTGTACGTCTGCGTGCGCGCACGTAACCATACCCGCAGATTACTTGTTCGTACGTTCGCGCACTCCCAGCAGTTCTTCTTCTGCCGACAGCAAGTGCCAAACGTGTGTACCGCACTCGGCACGGGCCCGCGCGCGGAACACCGTCGAGAGGCTGCGCGCTGCAAAAGACGCCGCAGGCAGTCGAAGACCGAGGGGCGCAGGCCGCCGCGGGAGCAGCGAAAGGGTGCGTGCAGACGGTGCCGCGATCGTGCCAGTCAGCTCGAGGAGCAGTGAGTGGGCGGGAAGGGGGCGGGCAACAAGCTGACGCTGCGAGGCAGACGGCTCGGCCAGGATGGCAGTCGCCAGTCCGCACTCGGGCGAGACGGTCTGGGGCTCTAATCATGGGACCCTGCCTTTGGTGCCCATTCCCCCCCTGCTAACGTACTCGCGCGTCCCTCGTCGTCCCCTACCTGTCACGCTTCGCGACCTCTACATGTTTGTTGGTGTTGTTGTTGTTGTTGTTGTTGGTGGTGGTGGTGGTGGTTGGTTGTTGTTGTTGTTGTTGTTGGTGGTGGTGGTGGTGGTGGTGGTGGTGGTGGTGGTGGTGGTGGTGTTTTTGTTGTTGGTGCTGATGCTGTTGTTGTTGGTGGTGTCTGTTGTTGTTGTTGTTGCTGCTGTTGCTGCTGTTGCTGCTGTTGCTGATGTTGCTGTTGCTGTTGCTGTTGCTGTTGCTGTTGCTGTTGCTGTTGCTGTTGCTGTTGCTGTTGTCGTCCACGCCGCCACCCACACCCACGCCCACGCCCACACCCACACCCACACCCATCGAGGGCCCACCAACGCCAAATTTCGGCACACCCCTCACGAGGATCGTGGCCCTGGCCCCATGCGGAGCTCCTCCGAAGGTCCCAGTGGCAGGGCCCGCATGCGTCCCAAGGCCCACGGAAGGAGGTCTGTTGCCCTGACCCAAACACGGAGTTCTTCCGAAGGTCACAGTGGCAGGGCCAGCATGCGTCCCCAGGCCAAATTTAGGCACACCCCTCACGAGTATCGTGGCTCTGGCCCCGCAGGGAGCTCCAAAGAAGGCCCACCGACGCCCCATTTCGGCACACCCCTCACGAGGCTCGTGGCCCTGGCCCTATGCGGAGCGCTTCCGAAGGGGGCCCAGTGGCAGGGCCAGCATACGTCCCCAGGCAGAATTTCGGGACACCCCTCGCGAGGATCGTGCCCCCGGCCCCATCATTAGGGAGCCCCACCCACCGAGGGCGCACCGATTTGGACGCCCGAAATGGGTACTGAAAGAATGGGTACTATGCCCAACAGCAGTTCCTGTTCATTCTGAACAGGATCCGCTGTCCACGCCGCCGCGGCCTGTGTCCATTCGAGACAGGAGGCCGCCCGCCCAACAGCGGCCGCTGTTGCTTTGGGACAACATTTGTTGTTGGGCATTGTACCCAGTCTTTCGGTACCCATGTCGGGTGTCCAAAACCGACGCCTGATTCCGGCACACCTCTCACGAGGATCGCGGCCCCGGCCCCATGCGGAGCTCTTCCGAAGATGAAGTAGCAAGGACAGCATGCGTCCCCAGGCCTACGGAAGGCAGATTGCGGCGCACCCCACACGTGGATCGCAGCCCGGGCCCCACGCGGAGCTCTTCCGAAGACCCCAGTGGCAGGGCCAGCATGTGCCCCCAGGCCCACGGAAAGCTCATTTCGGCACCCCACATGAGGATCGTTGCCCTGACCTCATGCAAAGCTCTTTCGAAGGTCCCAGTGGCAGGGCCCGCATGCGTCCCCAGGCCAAATTTCGGCGCACGCCTCACGAGGATCGTGGCTCTGGCCCCGCAGGGAGCTCCAAAGAAGGCCCACCGACGCCCCATTTCGGCACACCCCTCACGAGGCTCGTGGCCCTGGCCCCATACGGAGCTCTTCCGACGGTTCCAGTGGCAGGGCCCGCCTGGCCAGGGGGGGGGAGGGGGGGGGGGTGCTGGTCTCCCAGCCCTCCTTGGTTGGGTATTCGTTGTGAATAAGGGCACTGCGGCCGCGCCTTCTCCCCCTTCTCTCGCCCCCCGCGTCCCGCCTCCCTGTTGTCTCCTCTCGCGCACCTCTTGTGTATGCATCTTGCCTGCGGTGTCTGTCACCGACCTCGCCGTCACTGGGGGGGGGGCTGCAGTCTGCGAACCTGTCGCCACTTTCGAGGGCTGCTGGTGGGTCCAGCGGAGTGAGGCGCCGCGCGGATCTGAGCGAGACCTCGCCGTCCTTGGAGGGGCTGCGATCTGCGAAACTGTCCCACGCGCGGATCTGAGCGAGACCTCGCCGTCCCTGGGGGGCTGCGATCTGCGAAACTGTCCCACTGCCGAGGGCTGCTGGTGGGTCCAACGGAGAGAGGCACCGCGCGGATCTGAGCCTCGCCGTCCCTGTCGCCACTTTCGAGGGCTGCTGGTGGGCCCAGCGGGGCGAGGCACCGCGCGGATCTGAGCGAGACCTCGCCGTCCTTGGGGGGCGCCGCGATCTGCGAAATTGTCGCCACTTTCGAGGGCTGCTGGTGGGTCCAGCGGAGTGAAGCACGGTGCAGATCAGAGCGGAATCTCGCCGTTCTTGGAGGGCTACGATCTGCGAAACTGTCGCCGTTTTCGAGGGGGGCTGCGATCTGCGAACTTGTCGCCACTTTCGAGGGCTGCTGGCGGGTCCAGCGGAGTGAGGCACCACGCAGATCTGAGCGGGACTTCGCCATCCTTGGGGGGCTGCGAGCCTCACGAATGTCGTTCGCAGAACTATATGAGCCCATGTCACGTCATCACCTGTGTATAACGTGTCCCAAGCTACTCGTGCCCCGCATTGCGCGGGGTATGGGTACGTCGCCAGGGTAATGTTGAGAGTCTTGTCAATGGGGTATCTAGAAAGTTCCGTGGGGATCCTTGTCCCATGCGCTTCTTATCCCGCAGGTTTCGTGCAGGGCTCACATAAGGCTCTGTCGGCATCGTAAATGGCGGTGTACCAATCATCTATGGTTTTCTGCGGATCCTTGCGTAGCCCAACCGGAGCCTTGTAGGATCCCCACGGGTCCATATAGAAGCGTGAGAGGATCCCCACCACACATGGGGTGGGCTACGCCTTCCCCCAGGGGGAAGGCCCCCTCAGGGGGTTTGCTGGGGGTGCTGGAGATGCCCAAGGGATTCGTAGGGCTCCCGGTGGAAGCCTA